AAGTTGCCTTATGACGCAGGTTTAATGTATCATAACTATCTAAAAACATTGCTAGATTGAAACTAGAAAAGTACGACAGAAATACGATTTCAAAACAGATTCCCAATGAAAAACGCGAACCGGTCAATGCATATGGAAATGCAGTGCATCAGAAGTAGTTCATGGCTCGGTGTTTCAACACACGAGGCTAACGAATTCAAAACTAATTTCTACACATAAATCTGCAAGAGTAATTTGAATAAAAGGTAGCTAAGTATGAACTGGGTTTCTTTAGTGTGTTCATGGCAAAATCAAGCTAAGCCAAAGATGAAAATAATAAATGTGTTACAATATAAACATGATCGGTGGAAGCGATATTTCAAATTGTAATCGTAATGTGAATGAAAATTGATATGATGTGTATTTAATACAATAATTTACTTGGAATCTATAAATAGGCCTACATTATTTGGAAACATTATCATATGTACATGTCACATGTTCTTAGACGTGCACCCCCCCCCCCCCCCCGTTGAGTATACAAAACATAAAATATCCGCAAGTACATATTTTTATTGCACAAGAAACCCTTAGTTTAATATAAATACAAAATTAGAATTGCCTACAATATTTACAAAACACTTCAACCATGCATAAACACGAAGAGGATGAAACTGTTTTGATGATTTATACGTTGTTACATAATGATGTTCATTCAAACTTGGCAAAGACACAATTGAAGTCACAACCAAGGCTGCAAAACACATTTTCTAGAGGGATATTTATAAACACCTGGAAATACTCGCGAGTAAACATAGTTTCGTTTATTGGCCAACAGTTAAATCTGTAATAACGTAACTTTCTGTACATAACTTTATCATGACCCTTTAAAAGATTAAAAGAATAGCATCCCATAACACAAAATAACATTATCATCGAAACATATGTTCTCTGTTTTTGTCTGCTTACGGGATGATAGCTCTGAAACAGCTAATTTTAGTCGGCAACAAAACTACACAGGTCTAACCATTGGATCATATTCAGATCCAGAATTCAGCTTAAAATGCGTACGAAAGTGTGCGACGCTGTCTAAGGAATTGAATTGAATATGAATGATGAACTTCGGTACCTACAAGACGTCCAGTCGTAAAGATGCCTGATACTTCTGCCTTTGATGTCAGAACATTTTTATTTTCTTTACGCCTGTGGCATTTCTCATGTTACTTCTACCTAACCTAAACATATTGTTAGGAAACACTGTCAATGTGTATCCCAATTAAAAAGGCAAATATTTACTAAATTGTACCAAACCATATTATTAATTAAATCTAGTTTCGAAGCGCAACGCTTATTATTTTTAGCAACATGACTTTGAAGATGACACAAGTTGTGTTATATTGGCAGTGATCAAATTGTGCAAATAATATGAACCAGCTGTGAATAAGCTAAACAACTCTGATGGTTAACAGCTGTGAATCAGCTGATTAAACGGTCTTTGTTTATCAGCTGATCACGTTATCGCACGGCATCACGACACGAGTAGGCTAATGATCGAAATGTGACAGTTACTGTGATAGTGTACGAAGCTTGGGAAAGAAAACCTTGCAGTATCACAAATGGAATTTGCAAAATTTTGATAGAGCAAAGAGCATACAGTTCAGCATCTTTAACTACCTTTGCGTTAAACAGTTTTAACTTGTATTTAAAAAATAATAATGAGTTAAATGACTATTTGTGCTCGTAATGCAAACAAGACTTTTCATACTACCATCATTAACGTCAAATAACACACAGATTATGAAATGGCATTAAGGCTATAGGCACATTTGCTTTTTTATGTTACATTATGTGCTTACCGGTTGCTAACGTACTATATTGTGGTTGGTGCAGAAACACCAACTGTGAAATCAGCTGATTTAGCGTGCGGGAATCTCTAGAGCGGAAATAAGCTATTTTGCGCACTGTTTTCAGCTATGGTAATGTGATTATTTCCATGCAGTAGTAGGAAAATGTCAAACGCTGTTCTATTGAATCAAAAATATGCAATTAAATGTTACGTGTTATCAATTTCTACATTTGATAAATTACAACTATGCCGGAAAGGATATATCCTTATCGACTGAGATAATCAGGATTTCTCAATTATTGTGTATAATATCAAGAAAAATATGCTCTTTTTTATATAGCCTATAAAAACAAATTCTAAGTTATCTCATATAATTTTGCTCACATAATTTTTCAAATTAAAAGAACATGTAAACACTTAATTACTTAAAGCCCAACCGAATTACCGACAAAAAAAACAAAAATCAAGCTATACAACAGTTAGATTATAGCAAAGCTTCTAATTGATGCCATAGTTAGAAACACAACAGGTGAATCTAGACTTTTACCAAACAAGCGTCGGCAACGCCGTGTTCCGTGTTTAGCTTGGAAGCATCAGGTATTGATTGAAGTAACTAAACATTACATCAACGGGCGAGCTGTTGCTTGAGGAAACATTTCATTTGTAACACTGCTGTACAATTATATCTGTTTTGTTAAAAGTACCTGGGGACCGAGCCATGGCTCTGTGTAGATTAGTTCGATTGTTAATACGAAGGAAACTCACGTTTTATGTATAACTTATTTTGGCTTGTATTATTTAAGTTTCAGTGGAATTTCAATTTTTCATTATGAAAATTTTGACCTGGCAATCCACTTTTATTTATTTATTTTACAGTGGATGAAAGATCGCCCGTTTACATCTCCAAGCTTGAGTATCGCCCGAACCATTTGGCCCTCAACCTCCTAGACAACTAACAGTCAACATGTCTACAGACTAAAAAGAGAAAATGTTTTAGACCTTCCAACTTGATTTGTACAGCAGCTCTGAAATTTATTTTCTTTGCTTTTTTTGTTAGTGCTAAAGCTGTTTAGCTGCTAACTCATGCTTTCCAATTTATATTTTATTCTTTTTAATGTCATCATATTTACTTATTGTTTAATGTAAAACAACAGATTGTAATTTTTTTATACATTCTCCTGTCTACAACCCTTATCATGAAAAAGATAAGGGGCAAGCAATGGGAGTATGCAGTTTTATAGGGGAAAGTAAAAGCCGCAATAACTTTTGAACCATAATTTTTACAGCAGGGGTCGTACCATTTCGTTTACGGTTAAAAGGGCCATGCCATACTAAATGTTAATCCAAATCGTTAAAACCTTTTTATGTGAAAATTAATGTTTTCCATTTTGCCATTTTTTATGGGTTTTATGGCAAAAAACCACCATAAAATGAAAACATATAAGCATAGGCCTACTAGTACCGGTACTACTGGGAATGTGGTTTTCTAAGTGATGTAGGCCGCATACAGCATTTCGAAAACCACGTTTTGGGGCCCAGGGAGGTAAACAAACTTATATTTCCACCTACAACTCAACCTCGAAAAAATTGATGAAAACAAATTTTTCCACACATATGAGGGAGAAAGTAAAAATAAAATATTGTTAGTATAAGATCGTATCACCACAGTCAAGTATAGCATATTTAATTATTTAGTCTATGGTATCACGTTCAAACAGCCCAATTAGGTAACTGCAATGCCCAAGATGCATGTACCATCTACTATTTATTTAGTTAAAAGATAATCCGTTAAAACACAGTTAGAATCTCAGAAAATCAGCTTGGTGCAAATGATAACAATGGCAGAACTGTACTGTATTTATCAATCACTTTGTATACAAATCCATTATCAGTGCCGAGGAGATACGTTATGTTTGTGTATCCGGAGTAACAGAAAGATGATGCGATCCGTATATATCAAAAGATTGATGCCGTATCGCAGATCTTATACACTCTCAAAGACGTAATGCTAATGTATGTTATTGCCCTTTTACATCTGCTGGAGACATGTTTAGGGAATTTTATATCCGGTTTGTGTGCATTTTGATACTTAATTTCTTATTAATTATATTTTTACGACGCCGAATATTTACTTAGGTGAAATATTGCAACATAAATAATTTATTTGGAAATTATTCCTTTTCTGTTACCAAAGATCAAATTACACTGTACATTTTTGGTTAAATAGGCAAGACACATTTTGTCATCGGCCAACCCACGGGTATGACATGAAACACATCTGAACGTGCTTAGAATTGTATGATCAAATCAAATAATTTATTGTCCTTAAACCATAGCATAAACATAATAGGACGATATGTATTCTAAACCAATGTCGTACGTCAAATTTGCAAAAGAAATTTCATTGACGTGACTGAGAGAGCCAAATTTTGGGAGCCGATATTTTACTTGGTTCATCTTGGATTTGATTTTGGTTATATTTGATGATGTAGTCATAATTTCAACCAGACTAAAATGCCTAGTGAGGTACTATGCCTATATGTTTCCATGGGAAGCTTGTTGCCAGTTCGAAGATAAAATACAGGCCAATTTTAATATAGCCACCGGCAGTTTGCAGATGTTGATGTTCTAAAATACCAAATACTGTACCGTTCTCTTATTATTATGTGCACAGACAGTGTTGTGGTTGGTTGGGAATAGTTATTAATTTTCTTTTTTTTCACCCCGTCAGTTTTTCATTGCTACAGTATAATAAGTTTTTTGCTGTTATTTATTTTCATTCTATTGAAGTATAACAGATTGTAGAATTCGTATAACCGATTTCGAAGCAAACAAAATTTAAAAGACTAGGCCTACATTACTCCTGCGCTCCTCTAAAAATTTATTTGTTATGTCTTCTTATATTCTCCTTCAGATACCTACTGTTTATCTTTCTCAGCTAGACAACAAATTGGTTAAAAATATCCTTAATGGCTTTATTACGTATATCAAAATCAATGGGTGTATATTATTTTGTTTTATAATAGCAATAAAGTTAATTAGATTTGAGAAACTTGCAATAAAAATAAGTATATAAAAGTACCTATTTACTATCCACAATATTGGCATAAGTTACACTATGTTTACATGCCCTAATAAACAAAAATAATAAAAAAAAGTGAACTGGATTACTTACAAGAATTCAGTGGATAAACAGTGGCTCTATTCCAACACAACAACGAGGCACTTTGACACCCACACGATACGAACGCGGCGATCTACACTCGAAGCGAGCGCAACTGAAACTGAAACAAACCGAACCGAGTGGTTCAAAAACACAACACAGACCAGACGTACCAACCGTCCAAGCGCGCTCGCACCTCAACAATGACTGTCTCTTTCTCTCTCACTGTCGCACACGCACGCGCGTTCTCGCTGCCGCACGCACACACACACACCGGCCACAATTAATTAACCTGAATAAGCCCGGTTTACATGACACCGTTTATCAGCTTTTAACTAATTAACTGTCCAAGCACTGAAATAAAGTCTTTGGAGGAAAAAATTAAACACATTCTTTACAGAGTGTAGATGAGTAACGCTCCTTTCACACTATACGTTTTCGCTCGTGCGGTTATTAGTCGTATTTGCTGTATCGCATTGGAGCTTATGGCCCCTTTCACATTATACGATTACAAACCGTGTACGATTTTCACCCGCGTAGCGACCGTAGGTGCACACGGTTGGTATCCGACTCCCGCACGAGTAATAGTCGTGTCTACTGCTAGTGGACCATGTGACCATATGGCCCTTTTCACACTACACGGTTGTTAGTCGTGCGTCGTGCGGGAGCCCTCCCCGAGTGCAGTTCGCAGCGTTTTTGCTATATAGTTTTTATTTCGTTTTTCAGTTTAATTGTTTGGTTATTGAGTTTAATTACCTGTGCGCACTGTATAGTATTATTCAGTTGTTGTAATTAGTTTCAGTTGTCTTAAATATAGTTCAAATGGATGCAATAATTGTGTTGATTGCACGGTTAGGTTTAACCATTTAATTGAAACTAGAGTTTGTGTTTGTGTCTAGGTTTGTGTGAATATGTGAATATTCACGGGCTTTAGCGAATTTCCCATATAAGGAATAAGCTATTACCGTAAGTCAATGATGATAGTACTCATAGTAAGACCTAGACCCGGGACTGATTCACTTTTTCGTAACTTGAGCAAAAATGATCCGATTTTGATGAAATTTTGTAGAAACGTGTAAACCTACATTTATTCGAACGAGTTCGCGAACCAGCATGATCGGACTATAGGAACGGGGTTGTATAGGGGTTTTTTATGCATAGGGGCACATAGGGGGTTCATAAAATTTCACAATTTCTTTCCAGACCATTTCGTAGAGCTTAAAAAAAGAAATAATGTTTTATATTGAAGCGTTGTTGTATGCCTAACCATATATAAAAAGTGTTACAGAGATAATTAAAAACCTTTAAATTAAAAATTCCCATGTTATTCTAATGGAGTATAAATAAACTGTTGTAGTTTGCTTGTTTAAGGACATATTTTAATCAAATTTGGCAATTTTGTTTATTTCATACTAAGCTATCAACATTTCAACAAAAACACAACTCAATACCTTCCCTGTAGCAGCAAACCTAGGTACTCATTAAACTTAATGTTATTTAAATAGGGAATAAATCTGAACATTTTCAGGGTATATTTTAGTAGAAATCCAGCCAGGTAAATGTAAATTCGCTTAGTATGCAGGTTTGCTGCGGTGGGGTATTTTTACTTTGAATATTTCCACTGTGGCGACGAAGTCTTGGATTGGTTATAATGGGAGAAAATGTGAGAGAGTTTTGAAGGAGAGTGTACACAATTAATCATTATTCATTTGTACTTATCACTGTGAAAGAAACTCAACAATTACTTATTCTTTCTCTCTGCTTGCGTCTTTACACATTCTGAGTATTTACAAAATTTCAGGACGATATTTATGTTTATTTTCTTAATTCGTGTTCACAGTGTTTATTACGTCGATGTGCGCGTATGCGAATCATCTTGCATAGTTACAGTTAATCAAATAATTTACCATAGCAATTCCAAACTCGCTGATGTTTACTCATCATTAGATTATTTCCTGCTTTCGAGACCATTAGAGTATTTATTGGTAATTAGATAATGACCATGAGACATTAAATCCCTTTTGCTAAGTGGTTATATCTCATCCATAAACATTGTTTACTTTCAGCGATGTTCTAATAGCTGTTATAAATAGTTTATCTCTAAGTTACAAGTTCTCAAAGATTACGATGGTATACAATGTAGACAGTGTGATACACTTACGTTAGTGAACAAATTTTGGAAGAATTCACTAATATGTAGGCCTAATAGGTTAAACAATAGTGATTTATATAACAGACGATCGACGGTAAATTTACGTTTGATTTGGCCTCTATAAGCGTATCACCATCAACAATCGTCAAAGTACGATTTTTTAGTGTTTTATAGACCTGAATTAGTATGCATAGTTTAAATATTTGAATTTTTTGTGTATTTTAACTACATAAGCATGTTATACTATTTTTAGGTTAAATACATGATTGTGGTTTTGTGTCGCTAGCGTGTAGGCTCGTCAGTCTCCACGGTATGTAATTTAGTTCACATCACGCACATTCACGCCCACTAGTAACTAGCAGGCTGCCTAGCCCGCTAACATCGCAGTTTAAGGACATTTTGAAAAGTTTGAAACATATTTTGAAATTCAGCACGTTTTGGCTTACGATATCAGGTAAAGAGTATGTTGTGTAAATGCGGTAGTTTTTGAGAGGGAACACGATTTTAATTTCGTCCCGTGGTACGAACGCTATTCGTCACAACGCTATAGGGAAAATTGAGAAAATATAATATAGAATATGCATACCAACAGTAAAAAAAATCGCAACTTTAAGGTTATGTGACGAAATATTAGAGGAATCAGTCAAAATAATAACTAGGGTGGTCTGCCGTTACACTTTAGACGCATAAATGAGCGAAGCATTATTTAAAGATTGCCAATGGCTAAAGCAGCTAACACCCTACAATATGTTCCCATTCAACAGATTCACCGTTTGTTTGCCCGATATTATTTAAGTTCTAAAGAATGACAAATTTATCTGATAGTTCATACTGTACCTTTGTAGTGAAACTGGCCATCCTGACTATTTGCTTGTACTTTGTAAATGGGCATAGCAGGATGTACTCGTGCAATCAACATTTGTTCCACATCGTCAGGTCAGTTAATTCGTTCGGGACACTTGACACATCCATATTATTTAACGCCGTGAATTTAGTTGCATTTGAACGACAACGCGAACAAATCGGTGATTGGTTTGAAGCTGTTAGTTGTTGGCGGTGACAGTTAGTGCAAGTATAAAATTGTAGTGCATCTAATTCATGTTGGAATTGATTAGCTAACTGCCTATCATTATCAGATTTTTCCACCACTGCTTCATCTGGTTCTTCTTGTTCACGACGCCACTATCTTACAATATTTGCATTAGTGGTGCGACGACCAATATTACAACGCGGTCTTTGAGCCATGCTTAAAACGAATAGAGCAAAACTGTTACTTCCATTGATAAACTAACTTTAACCATGAAAGTAAACATTGAAATGTAAACAAAACAGTTACAAACAATTAACATATGTTTATCTATATATTAATAGGTTTAAATAAAACAAGATAAACCCATATGTCATAAACCCAATATAATTTTTCTTTCAACTTACATTAAAATAACAAGCGAAATTGCGTGACCCGTAAAATAAAATCCAGAAGGAAATTTGCAAATATTATTTACCAAAACATTGTGCTCAGTATTCTTTAGCTGTTGGCCAAATTTCATTTCAATTGGCCAAGCCATTACATTCTGATGCTCTTACAAAGAAGTTACAAAGTGAGGGAAAGTGAGCTACGCTCGCTCCGCTCAATAAATAGGCCTAGTTAAGCAGCGGTGACAAAAAACAAATCTATTTACGATGCATGGATACAGCTTAACGTAGACATTGGGTTCAGGGTGCATGGCTGTCGCGTGGGTGGTGCGCGGACGTCCGTTCCAGTCCCAGACGCCGCATGCAGGGGACATAAGACATAAGACATAAGATAAATTTATTTCCTGTAAAACTTACAATATACAAGTCATTGGAAAACGTCAAATTCTACATTATAAAATATACATTAAGATCTATGAATAAAAAGAAATTCCTTCAACATCTTATAATAAAAAGGAAATGCATACATAATGTGACCTGTCCTCACACAATGAGGACAGGTCACATTGTAAACTATTATCTATCGTAATAAATAATCACAATGAGAACGCCGCGGAAGCGGGGGCTTTGGTGGTCGTCGCAGGTGCCACGGCAAATTTAAAGTAGTAGTACCTGTACCTCATACAGTACTGTAAAAAATATATCAGTAAACATAGATATATTTACCTCTAGGTAAATAGATATGTAAATATCTATTTACATAGAGATAGGTGTGTGAGCGGCTTCATTTTAGAGCCAAGCTAGCTGAGCCTAGCCTACAAGTCTTTAAACACCAAGTCAGAAAATCGAGCTCTTGTTCTAGCTGAACTTTTTCATGGTGGAATGGCCTCTGGATCGTCTGAATGAACTATAGTGGTTTAAATTACCTTGTTACTGTCAAAACGAGCCTTTGTAGTTAGTAAGACTACAGCTGTTTCATGCTTCGAATGGAGCACATCATCAGGTCAGAAGAATGTCAAGTAGTCTTCATATTCCTCGCAGTGGAGTTCGTCAAAAGTTTAATAATTGAGCGTAGCTCTTTGGGATCAACTTCAATGCAACAAGTAAAGCAACATCACTCAATAACGGCAGAACACTAATTAGAGAACAAAACACATAACACACGGACACGAAAACACGAAACATTTATTGGTCGACCAGACGACGGCAACACACGTGATAAAGCGCCGATTACCGTCGTACGTCTGGTCGACCAATATCAAATGTTTCGTGTTTTCGTGTGTTATGTGTTTTGTTCTCTTCTGAAGCATGAAACAGCTGTAGTCTTACTAACTACAAAGGATCGTTTTGACAGTAACAAGGTAATTGAAACCACTATATAGTGAACTTTTACGATAGCAATGTTTTGGTTATCACAGATCGACAGCAATAACGTTTCAGTGATTGCGGAATACGATATCATGTTTCCGAGACCGTGGGAGATGATCAAGGATTTGGCTGCCATCGCGGAGGATTATGGATTTATTTTTGTTACCTCGGGAGATAATCAGGAGTTAGCCACAATCACAAGGACGATAATGATGTCTCCGCAACAGATGATGAATCAGTCAGCGACG